AAAACAAATTAGAAATTATTATTATCGTGATTAATTCGTGCTATAGTGTTGATTGAGTTCACAAGGAGTTGATACTCATCACTTTAATACAAATTACACACCGATTGATTTAGCTAATATATAGGTGATCAAGGAGAATCATCGCAAATTCCTACGGAATATAAAGGAGAGTCCTTGGCTATCAAACTCAAATGCGAAACGAAACAAATGCACTTTCTATTGATGATATTATTTAACTCAGCGGACATTAGAATCACTTCTTTTTTAAACGAAATCGACTGGTCCAGATATGGTTAATTTTTTGTATCTTTAAAGCGTAACATGTCTCGATTCAAACATCTTTCCTTCTTTCAATAGATAATATTCAAATAATAAGATAAATGAAAACATGTAAATACATGTACATGTAATAATAATAAGAAAAAATTTAGGGTCAAAATAACAAAAATGGAAAACGCGACGCATGTTGTGCACATGCGTTACTTTTGTGGCGACTGTACATGAATAGTTTAGGAGCTTTGCTTGAACTTTTGAAATTTAATCGCCTATCGGTTTGAATGAATCAATATTAATCATGGAACTGAGTTTAACGAATTAATTTGATAAAAAACTTACATTACATCAAACTGGTTTAGTGTAATTTTATTTTTAAGTGATGAAAAATGAACTCTTCAGAAACAGATAATTGATGATACGAAACTTTTAACACTTGCGAAACTTAACATTGCATGATTTGGATTCATTTAATTATACTTCGATGATTTTGTTGATAATGCAAGCTGATTCAATTACAACAAACAGTATTTTCTCATCATAACCTAAAAAGTTCGAGCATTTCATCCGATTTGGCACTATCTCCCATAAATAAAGAGATTATTTGATGGTTCAAGCAACAAGCGCGTAAAGTGAACAAACATTTTGTTTAGAAAATTTTACAGACAACCGGAAAGAAATTGCTTAGATCCAGAAAAGGGCTAATGAAATTCTTTGTTTCAAGACTTGGTTTATAGCTGATCAATTAAAGAACACGGAAAGGAAATTAATGTGTTATATTTAGAAAAAGGAAATTAATTAGTCAACAAATCAATTGTTGAATTGTTTCTAACACCACTTACTTTTTTAATGGTGAAATTTATTAAATATCGAAATCGATGTACATATATACGTATAATGATCTTTATTGATTACTCGAAAATGATATACAATATCATCTGTAGATAAGCAAGGATCTTGAAGTTTATCTTTAATACCATGAAAACTCTGGTTTAATTTGGTTCGTCTTCATAACTGGTTGCTTGAAACCTAAACTGAACTTTTTGAAATGGTAACATTCTAAGATATTATCTGTTGTTACCAAGCAAGAAAAGCCCACCAAAAAAGAACAGTTAATCGCCGGATACAGCCATTGTTAAAGGTAAAAAGTTAGCCCAAGAAGGCGTAATTTGAGAGCAAGTCATTGCCGATGGATTAGACGATGAGTGAAGATGTTGTTCCTCGCAAAGGAGAAATCTATTTAGTGAAATTTAATCGCAAACAATAAGCTTATGTATAACTCAAATTTAACTTAATATCTGTATCAGTCTGATTCCATTAGTGTATGAGTTTTCATATTTCTTGTTTTTATCCAAAAATCGACTACACATGTTTTTTATGAATTAAAACTACGATTAGTACTAATTTTTTTTTAAAAAATGTACTTGAATAAAAATTATTTAAAGATACATGTAGTGAGAGAATAAGCACACTTTGCAAATATTCTATATACATGTATATTTTTTGGTCTCTCATTATTACATGTACATAAATTATTAGATAAAATTATTTAGATAAAATATTAGACAAAATATGACAAAGAAAAATTCCAAAACAATCTATGAAAAGGAAAATCAGTGTTACACCTGTCCTGTAATAAAACATACAATACAAGTATCAAAAAAATCAGGTTGAGACCTGTTTGACAATGCCAAACGAGTTATGCATGTACTCCCAAAGCTAATTTGACTATTCATTCAGATATACGAGTATATGTCATTAACTTAATTATTTATTGAGCTTTTCAAAAATGACTGAATTTCTTAAATTTATGTCAAGAGATTTTAGTCGATTACTCGAAAGAGCTGACAATTTTGATGTTAATGCAGAAATAGGCGATGAGTCAAATAAAAAAATCTTCAAGGCCCATTCCGTAATCCTTCGCGCTAGGTCTAGCTATTTTGATCGAGCATTGTCTGGTGATTGGTCAAACGTTGAAAATGGCACGATTAAATTTAAAAAAAATAACATTTCGCCAGATGTTTTTTCAGTCATTTTAAAGTAATAATTGTTAAATTATTTTTCTGAGTTATTATAAAACCTAATTCGTCTTTTTTTTTGAAACTCCAAGTTATCTTTACGGTGCCACAATCCCTCTTGACCAACAAAGCGCTCCGATTATTCTCGAGATACTAATTGCAGCAGACGAATTCAACTTGGATGACTTATTTGATCATCTTCAACAATATTTGGTTGACCA